TGTGTGTGTGTGTGTGTGTGTGTGTGTGTGTGTGTGTGTGTGTGTGTATGGGTGTAAGGGAGAAGGAGAATGGAAGTGAACGCGGGAGGAAAGAAAAGAAAGAGAAAGAGAGTTGAATTCAAAAGACCCTTTTGTAGACCGGTTGTTGTTGTTGTGCCGGCTAAACATTTTCATGCGAGCGAAACCTGCAGATTGAGGGCAGAAATAAAAATATTATATTCATCGATCAATATAATATATTGTTGTGTTTACTGCAAGAGTTTTCCTTCGGCTCCAAATTTCGTGATAGTTCCATAACACTCTCCACTCGCAGTACGCTCGATTCTCGGGATTGGCCCGGGTCTTGGTATGCAATTTACGAACAATGAAAAATCACCCTGCGTTAGTTGACGTCGAAGAAAATCATTTCTCAGCGCCACCGACGATTATTTATGATTATTATAATTAAAGAAAACGCTAAGGGGGGGCTTGCGATGACTGCCCATTTTCTTTGGATAAAACCTATTATCGTCCGGTTAATATATTTACGGACGCACCCTAAAAACGGTTATTGAATGCGGCGCAATTCTTGAAATATTTATTATTTTTTTTTTAACAATCATTATTTCTCTACAAGTCAATATCGAAGCAATACAATTGCCGGTTGCTTGTATCGTTTTATTTGATGTTCCACACATTGTTATTATTAATTCTATTAAAACACGTATACCTTGAACGTTACAAAAATATGATGTCGATTCGGGTTGTTTACGCAAGTCTATAATATATATATATATATATATACGTAAACGGAATGCGCAACGCACGTGACGGAATTGGTATTTCGGATATAGATAGAATTCGCGCGGCCATCGAATTGAGCATACGTACCTAATAGTAGTAGTAGTAGTAAAAACAGTAGAATTACAAGTAAAGTAACAGTGATAAATATAAGTTAGGGTGTTTATGTGATAATACGAGTTAAGGACACAAGCGATGTTTGTCATTCAGCCGTAGTAATAGCGGATACAGGTATCAAAAGTCGTGTATTACGTAGCGTATCGACGTACAACGTTAACCGAATTCTCGAAAAACCAGCAGGATGAGAGTATTTCGGCGCGTAGAATGCGAAAAACGGACGTGCAGGACGAAATCGATGCTCACCTGTGGTGTGTGGATACGATCACTTTCCGCAGCGATGTATTACCGGCGCAATCCTGTCGCTGCAGCGTGGGCGGCGACGGAAGTCGTGATGATAATGACGTTTTCCGCACCCGGCATAACTTTTCGAAACTCCGCGGCGGAGCTGATGCGCACACGCGAACAAATCACTTAATCCTTTGCCGTTCGTATTAATTTCCACGCAAATATACGTGCGCCGTTGTACGCGCGTCGTAACGACGAACACAATAATTATATTATAATATTGAAAAAAATTATTTTTACGCTCACGTCCCCGTTGTCTGCACCCGCGAACGGTTAAAGGCGGCACTGCGATGCACTGTTGTGTTCACGCACTCCTCGGCGGATAATATTATTAATATTTTGTACGCGAAAAATAACGACGGCTGCGGCGGCGGCGGCGGCGACGGCGGCAGCGACCGGTCGGTATGAACGTGCGTGCTGGTGTGTGCGTGGAATTCCGGTCGAAAGGATCCCCGGCGCGCGGCGTTCGGGCGTCGGCCACCGCCGGCGATCCGAGCCGACACCGGCCGACCATCGATTTTCTGACCCCGGGCGAGATCGCGTTTTCCACCGCCGCTGCCGACGCCGTTTTTTCCTTTCCCCTCGTTTTCGGCGCGCTACTGAGGACTGAACGAGATTTTCAGCGGCTGCACAACGCCATCGCACACATCACCGCGTCCTTTATACATACATTAATGCATCCACATTCGTACGATATGAAATATAAATATATATATTTTTTTTTATCATACGGATATGGTATGCACTCGTGAGGACGACGACGGATATACGATATATTATTTTGTGGTCGTGGTCGTGTGTATGTATCGGGTGATTTTTTATTTAACCGCTCGTTTTTGTAAACGATTTTTTAATTTGTACATCTCTTCAATACTGTTCATCTCGTATTCCGAAACTAAACAAACGTCGTCTCATAATAATCGATCCTCGAATTGTTGTGATAAATCGTAGATAAGAGAAGTAAGCAGCTCGTCATATCGATGTTTTGTTTGCAATTCTTTAAATAGTTCACAACAATCAACTTCGGTTTTTATATTGCGCATGGTTTTTACTTCAGAGTTAGAAATTCAAAATATGCGTTGCAAAAGTAGCGCATAAAATAATTCCAAATTGTAGAAACGTTTTTTCTTTTTTTTTTTTGTTCAAAAAACGCATGAATTGACTAAGAAAATTAGGGTTTGACGTTAAAAAATCACCCTATATGTACATATTGTAACTATATATATACATATTACACAATCTTGACACTCGTAAAAGCGATATATTTATATACGCATTTACATATTATACTCAGCAATAATATATTGTATTACCCCATGCGAGAACACCTTTTTTCTTCTCCTCTGCACCTCCGGCGCCGTCTTCTTTGGCTGTTGTTGAGACACACGCTCCCGGTTTATTTCCCCTATTTCGCCGTACATAAAAATAGGTTTTACCTATGTTTCGTTGGATTTTTGCGCTCAACCGTTTCCAGGTAGGTATAATAATCATTGCCTGGCTGTAAACCCGGACTTATGTAAATATAAATACGGAAAAATCACGACCGGCGTTTATTTGCCGTTGAATCCGATTTCTGTTCGTGAAGAATCATCCGGTCGTGTTGTTTTCGAAGTGCGCTCGGCTAACGCGCTTACACTGCGTATAATATGCACACACATGTTTCTGACTTTGGGGACAGAAAATACATTCGCTTTTAACGTCCTGTCGTACCACACGATTTTGTTTGTTACTTTAACGACATATTTAAATATCTGTTAACTCATTATGCAAAGTTTATTAGTACGTACACATATTACACATACAGTTGTACGAGTTCGTTTCCTAAGTTTGGATATAATTTGTTTTCCCCTCCGCCCGTTTAACGTTTGAAATATCTTAAACATATAACGTGACGACCCCAACATACTTGTATAAAGATGATATGCCCATTTCAAAATAAAGATTATTACTACCACCTGGTCTTTAAATCCCCCTTTTTCGACGGCGGTATAGTACCATATAAATTATCCACTGTAACTAAATAAACAAATCAGTTCTACAGTTAAATAGTATTATGGGTTAAAAAATATTTACTCATCAGGTCTAATAATGATAATTTCATTAGTCCTATATATCATCAATGTAATGGCTTTAATTATTTGAAAACGTTTTATTGCACATATTCACCTATCGTGGATACTAGTATACTATATTAAACGACCATTAAAATTAAAACTATTCTCCATAGTTACCACTGTACCATGTTAATGTTAATAAAATAACATTATTTTTCCAAAATGATAGAAACTATTTTGTATCTATAATACATAACTCGTGTAATATGTATTTTATCACGTTCAATATATCCGCAAGCAGAGTACACAATAATATGACAATATGAGTAATTCGTATTTATTAATAAATCTATATACATTTCGTATACACGTACTTGTACTGTGAATTTTTTTATTTTTTATTTATTTATCAAAAATTATTTCTTTTAACATTTACCTAATATTTTATTATTATATGTTTATTGATTTTATGATATTTTCAGCTTAAAAGAAATCAAATAAAAAGTTCATATTTTATTAACCATACAGTTCTATTAACAATTTTTACTTTTTCTGTTCACTCTATACTACTTGTTAATATTTTTTATTGAAATTAACTTTTATTTTTATTTTCATAATCTTAGCAATAATTATCAGTTAACACAAATATTATAAAAATGATTATATATACTATAGAATATACATATATAGTAATTGATAGTAATAATATAATGTATGTATTGAATTAAAAGTTAAAATTTTATTATAATTAATACTATGATAAAATATAAATAATATTTAATGAAATGACATTATAATATTCAATACATATGAAAAATATATTAACGATCTGAAGTGGGTTTTCATTTTCATAATTATTTTTAAATGATTTAAATTTTATTATACATGTAACTAAATTGTAATATTCTTTATAGCATATAACTGTTACAAAATAATTTGGTACTTAATATACTTGTCAGTCGTCGTATTAATCTATCAAAATTAGATAGGTATACTTGAAATTTTGAATATTCAAAAAAGTATGTCAATAAATCTTGAATTTTTATTTTATAAAATTTTCTGTAAACAAAATTTGTTTTTTCCAAAGAAATAAACATTTAAGTACTCCCAACTTTAACTATATTTGTATAAGAAAAAAGTCTGTATTATTATTATACAGTATTCATCAATTTTTCGTAATAATCAAAGCTTTTGAAACCATCTTTAACATTTTATTTATCGTCCAATTTAAACGTTTTGTTCATTTTATTCTGAAATTTGTTCTTTGTTCTTATGTATTTAATCATTAATAATAAATTAAGATCAAATAAAAAATTGTACATAAAAATAATTTTTATTGAAGATGGTATAATAATATGAACGCGTAAACTTGCATAGTTATCGTGTTTTTTCAAACGTGACGATTGACTCTTTATATTCTTAAATACATTATTTTTACTCCAGTAATATTCTATATTTAAAATAAAAATTTCAGCGTTCTATTCATTTTGTTGTCAAATAACAATATTATGCAAATAAAAAAAATAAGTATAACACCATACTTTAATAATATTTATTACATTATTTTATCTGTCAATCGACATTTTTCATAAAATATTATATTAAATCATATTTATATATATATATATATTCACTGCAAAAATATTAAAGAATATTGGAAAAAAATCTAAAGAAAAGCTATTTAAAATAATAAAAGAATGTTATGAATTTGGAAAATCGCACCCGATTTAATACAAAGCAGAATGATATAAAAATATATATTAATTCTCTAAAAGGAAATGTAAAAATGTATCAACTATAGTACAATAGCAATTCTGTCACACTTTTCAAAAATCTTATTAAATATTGTTAAAAGCAGACGAAAATATTTTTAAAACATTTGGATGCCTATTTTGGATTCAGGAAGAAGGAACAAAAGACAATATGAAAACCGATACAACAGCTTTGAAACAAATACTATGTAGAATATAAATGATAGAAGATTTGATGTAAATAGATCATCGTAATGTTTCCTTCATTGACCTGTAAAAATTTTTTTTCAAAAAAGGTCAGACAAGAATGTATTTTTTATCATCATACTAATTTAATATTTTTATTGAAAAAGCAATAAATATATAATGAAAATTAAAACATAAATAATTTAGTCAATGGCAACCGATTACACTGTGGTAAGTTACATCAGAAAAAAACCCCATGCTGAAAATGTAACAGTACACTTAAAACAAATTTAAATTAAAAATCAATATAGGCAAAACCAATTTTTTGAAAATAAGAAAATAAATTATCAGTCTACTATATATACTATTATACGACTTCTATAACTGAGTAAACCAATGAGTTTTGTAATCTCAGGAGCATTTTAACTTTTAACAAATGCAAATAAGACAAGAAAATATATTAGAAGAATATTGTGCAAGCAAGACAAGTTCCCGTAAATAGAAAAAACGTATTATGTTACAATAACAAGTATGATGTACACACGGAGAAAACAAAATTATTAATTAAATTGTTCATATGCAGTATGTTAACTTATTGATATGAAATATGAATATTTATATTTAGGAAGTAAAAAAGACAAATCAAAAGATTTAATTACAAATAAAAATAAAAATTATGAATGTCTAGAAAAAGCTATTTTATAATAAAATATTAATACTAAATATCATAATTGAAGGGAAAATAATGAGAAAACGATCAATAATACGAAAAACGAGATATTTTTCAGGATGTACAAGAAAACATGAAATTTATTTCCTATTTTTACTTCAAGGAAGCAACAAAACATAAAGAGAAGTGTCCATAGTGACACAACATTGTCTTAAGACGGTAAATATATTTATAATACTTTATTTTTATTTTTATTAAATAAAACATTTGTAGACTATTTAGAATATCCTATTAGATAATTATAAATAGTTACAAGGTATATATTATATAGAATATTATATAATACTGAAATACTATATAATACTTATATGAATAGTTATTTTTATTTTAAAGTTAAATTGAATATATATTATGTAAGGATTCTAATATTCAAGAAAATATTTTGGGATTCAAACTAGTCATAGAGTAATAAAAAATGACTAATATTTAATAAATTCAAATCCTATGACCAAGCGAAAATAAAAGTTTTTATTTAACTTGCACTTTTTTAGAAAAAGCTATTTTATAAGGCGTAGATGCTACTCATCCTGAGAAAAATACAGGGGAAATAAAAAAACTAATCTATTATTTCACTTATATACTTAATATACCTACATAAATGTCTAACAAATTTCAATTATTTTAGAAAGTTTTGAAACAATTTAATGAAAATGTCACTCAAAATGTATGAATAAACGTAAATTCTCTAGATATAAATGTTGAAATATTTATTAATTATTTTTATA